TGAATCCATTCTGTAAGATTTTGTCTCTAGTTTTGGTCCAAAGAGTCAGTCTGTTTCAGAAAAGAGTATATGCTAAATCTGTATCTTTCAGAAAGGGGGGTATTTAACTACCTCAAATACCTGCAAAGCATGATTTATGAACTTTCATTTCAAGGAGATAGATCTTCTTAAAATAAATGTTTCCATTGTTCTGGGCAAGCCTTGTGTCTTTATATCCTAGCAGCTGTACAGCTTTTCTTTTTGCCCTGTGGCATCACAGCTCACAGCAACCTCCAACTCCTGGGCTCAAGCGATTCTCTTGCCTCAGCCTCCCAAGTAACTGGGACTACAGGCACCCACCACAATGCCCGGCTATTGTTGTTGTTGTGGCAGTTGTCACTGTTGTTTAGCTGGCCCAGGCTGGGTTTGAACCCGCCAGTCTCGGTGTACGTGGCTGGAGCCGTAACCACTGTGTTCCGGGCGCTGAGCCAGCTGTACATCTTTTAAACTCTCCCTTTGTGTAACATCTAGTTTTCCATTCCTTACAGTCTCCTGATAATTTCAATTTTTGCTGTCTCGTGAGAGTAATTTAATTTTTGAAAAACCTCTTGAAGGAAACTGTGAAATCCAATTTTATATAGTTTTACAAAATCCTTCAACAAGTGTACCCCGGGTTCCTACAGTGTTTTTTTCTAGGCATCAAAAAGCAACACGGAGGTGAATATGGCAGCTTTTCTACCTAAGAAAGCAGCACAGAGCTATATGAATGGGAGTGTGGAGTGGGGGTGTATGGAACCAAAATGCTCGAATGGCAGCTTGGTATAATAAGATTATAACAGCCTAGAACATTAGAGTTTTAAAAGGTTTGGACTAGATGTGGAATGACTGATGTGTTACTTAATGCATTTTTTTTAAACAAGGAATCTTCAATTTCTCCTTTGCAACCTTTCTTAGGGTTCTGTCTTTTTTGTTGTTGCTTGCTATTTCCCTTTCCTGATTTTTGTTATGCCTGAACTACAATGCTAGGCTCAAAATAGATGTTTTCCCCTGCAGTCTGTCCTGTAAACTATCGCCAAATGAATTATCCTGACACGTAACTCTTATCCATAAAAATATCTTCTGCTGCAGATATTTTCGATGGGAGAAACAGTGACCATGTTGGCCATGATTTCAAGGTCTCCCCCTCCTTTAATTCCAGCTGATTTTATCTTTCATTATTCCTTCACTCACTGCTATTTTCTGATCAAGGCAGCTTACCTGTTGTCTTCCTAATGAGACTTCCTGTTTTACGACTTCTCACGTAAAATGTTTCTATCTGGGATACGCATTCTCTTCCGGTTGCCGTGGATGTGAATTTATAGTTTCCTTTCCCCCCAGTTTAATGGCCCATCTTCACACCTCAGCTGGAAATGATTTCTCTATGTTCTGAAGCTTTGCAATCTCCATCACACAGGTGGCACCTATCATTCCTTATACTGAAGCTGGAATTACGTGTCTTATCTCCCTATCATGTTGTGAATTTCTTTGTCAATCCTTAGAGTTTTCAGCGTGGGAAGAGTGAGCAGAATACACTGACCACTCAGGATTAAATACATATTAAACAAGGTCCTTGGATGAATACGCAGTCAGTCAAGATAAATGCTGGAAGAATATTAGTAATGAAGAAATTCACAAATGCCAGCTGGGTCATTTGTTTGCCTAGAAGACTGATGGGGCAAAATGTCCAGGTGTTTGACAAAGGAGTTGGGAACTTGGGAAACAGGGTCATTTCCAGTAATGCTGCTAACTTGAAGATACCTCATCCAGATATTATTTAAATTTCGAGATAAATAAAACTTGAAAGGGTACGATTTTGTTTACCATCTACTGTTGAAGCCAAATAAAAGGGGGTCCTCCCAGCAGACTGGAGCTGGGACATCCTAGTCTCAGAAACCAAGTATTGAAGGTAAATTCATTTTGTGCATGACTGTGCACGTATGGACACATAGTCCTGAATTTGCTGCATACGTCTCCATGAAAAGTTGGCACCTGAGCAGAGTGATTGATTTATAATAATGTGCCTTAATCTCTGTGACCAATTGTACTGCGTAATAAACTCAGCACTTTCTTCCTCCTCTGTCTATAGAGGTAGTTTATAGTGTGATGAAGGAATTGGTATAGATGAGGGTTTTTGAGAATTAGAAAGAATCAAAGTAAGTTTTCTGTGAGGGATTCATCGCAAGGCGATGATTAAAATCGTGACTCTACATGATAACCACAAACAATTCCAGAATCTGAGCAGAGGGAGGCTGGAAGATGCTCTCACTCTGTAACCTCCAAACTCCCTGTCCTCAGCAGACTTTGTAGTCGACACCTTTAATTGGAGAACAACTATAGCCCCTTGGTTTTAACAATTAACAGGGGTTTTTCCAATCTGGATAAATTTGAATTCTTACTCTTCCCAGCTGCATGACTTAAACTCTCTGGACTTCAGTTAACTCACAAGTTAGTGGGGATAATTAGTAATACTTCATCCAGGTTGGTGGAGGATTAGCAGGAAGGTTGCCTTGGCATAGTGACCTAATTGCAAGAGCTCAAAAGTCATTTTTTCCTCATTCCCCAACTACCCACATAAAGAAGGTAATTCAAAGAGGCAGGGGAAATGATATTAAAGCTCTAGCTTCTAGATGTATGGATTTGCTTCAAAGAAAAGGAAAAAAACATAAAACTCTAGCAAAATGATGCATTTGTCTTGTACTTTTTCTCTTAGAAAATATGAAATATTTTTGTGGTTTTTAAAATTGAGGACAAAAGGCTTTTTTCCCCTGATTTATGCAATTTATATAATTGCTGAGAAATCCCTGCTAGAAAAGGCAAGTCTTCCCACATGTGTTTTAAGTATTTATTCTTTACTCCCCATTAGCTAGAGATAATCAGATCAGTGGTTTATTTATTTTATATATTTCAACATATAATGTGTTGGAAATAGTAGTTAGTTCTTCTGAGGTTTCCAAATGCACGGATTACCCCTTTTTGTCTTCATAAATTGAGTGTCCTTGAGTAGTTTATACTTATTAACTAGAAGAGTGAAATAATTGTGAATGCTGAGCTGATAAATAGTCATAGCTATTGTTAGTACTTTAAAAACATTTTACAGGTTAATTGAAATTTTTTGCCCTGCAATTTCTGAGTGTTGCAAGGCTTTGTGGATATTAAAAATCATATTTTGACAGAATTTTCAAGGCTGATGATACTTAAGTAACCACCTGAGATAATTTTGAAGCCATTTTCTATATAGATAGATTGGAACCAATGTTTTGGAAAAAGCAAGTTGCCTCCAAAGGCATTTTATTTTTCCTTTTCTTAAACATACCAAAAAGCAGTATATTAGGATAATTATTTTTATAGTTAAATATCCATAGCAAATAAAAAATTATGATGAACTTTTCTGGGTTTTATTACGTACCAATCGTGAATAAGAAAAATTTTAGGGCAGCGCCTGTAGCTCAGTGAGTAGGGCGCTGGCCCCATATACCGAGGGTGGTGGGTTCGAACCCGGCCCTGGCCAAACTGCAACCAAAAAATAGCCGGATGTTGTGGCGGGCACCTGTAGTCCCAGCTACTTGGGAGGCTGAGGCAAGAGAATCGCCCAAGCCTAGGAGTTGGAGGTTACTGTGAGCTGTGTGATGCCATGGTACTCTACTGAGGGTGACAAGGTGAGAATCTGTCTCTAAAAAAAAAGAAAAATTTTAAAGTGACATTAAAGGGCACTGCTCCAGAAGTCTTGTTAAAATAAGAACTAAATCTTAAGCAATCCTTGGTTCTAAAATTTAAGTAGCACAGAGAAGTGTAACACGGAAAACGCACTTCATCCATCCTTCTTATCCCAAGGTATCCTTCTTATCCCTTATCTCAAAGGTGATAGTTTTTTTTTACTTTATCCCTCTGGAGTATATTTTGGAAAGAAGTGGATTTATTTGTAGATACAAAACTTTTTCATTTACACAACGGATGGATAGCCAGGATGCTGTAACTTTTCAATTTGCTAGATTTCTAAACTCACAGAAGTATATTATGTCAGAAGGCATGGGAAAGTAGGGGCCGACCTGAGGTTTAGGGAGGTAGGAAGGTAAGATTAGGAAGGAAATTAGCAGGAAAGAGACGTTGCCTCCCAGTAACAGACCGTTGATTCCGCTCTGCAGTTGAGTACCAGAGAGCTAGTTGCTACTTCTAGCAACTAGAAGTAACCAGAGAAAAAACTGGTACTATTGTGTCTTGTTTTAAGAACTGATGACTATACCTAGCAGAAAAAACAAATACCTCTTCAAGTGATCAAACTTAATACACTGTGGCAAGTTATTTTCATTCTAAGAAACCTTTGCTGATTTTCCCAGGCTGAGTTAAAATGTTTTTCCTTACCGAGATCTTCCTTCCTCCTTTGCATGGTCACTCCTTGGTATGCTCATGATAACTGAGCTGCTTGTGGAACAGATCATACTGTGTCCAAAATAAGAGTTTGGCCGGTAGGAGCTCACACAAGCAATGACATATTCCTGCAGTTTCATCTTTATGGTATAGACACTGCATCACTGTACACCAAACATTAGCCTCTGTGAGTTGAGGCTGTGACAGTCTCGAGGACTCCTCATTGTCTCATGCCTCGAGGATAGTTACGCATTTCAAGTGGCTTTTTTCTAGATATGTATTAGTTGAATCCAACTAAATTGAACGACTACAAGTAGCAGCTATCAACCAATGGTATTTAAATAATAATCTGTAGTTATCTAAGTTTACTGAGGGCCCCTTCTGTGCTTCTGCTCTCTGTTCACCTTCTTTGTCCTCCGTTCCCATCTCTCTTCCCCCTACTTACTCTGTCCTACCCTTTTAATTATTTAATTATTTAATCTTTATTTAATTATCTGTTTCTTATGTCTTTCCCATTTCTTCTGTCTGTCTTTTCTTTTCTCCCTGTCCGCCCGAGTTTTTCTCTCTTGTAAATTCACACACACACACCCAGTTTTAGATATGTGACGTTTTCTTACCGAGATGATGACGTAGGCTCAGTAATCTGTCTTTGCACACGTGCATGTTTAATTAAGTGTTCTTTTAAAGCAGTTTGGACTTCTGCTGGGATGTCAGGGGAAGTGTGGCTAATTTTTATTGCAGGCTCAATAGCTCTCACGGCTGGTTTTTCATTTTCCTTGACTTCTTTTTTCTCTTCCGTCTCAAACACTTCTGCGGGGGCACTTGACACGCTCTGGGGAAGGGCCCCGACGGTGGAAGTCACAGGTTTGCTTTTCCAGCATGGCCAGCACAACTTCCAGAAGACGAAAAGCGAGACAACCAGCAAGGCCAGGCCACAGAAGCTGACGACGACGGCTAACAGGCTGACCGAAATATCTGGAAAATGGCAAGGCAAAGAAATCGTAGATATTATTATGCATCAAAGGGGGGAAATGACGCGATCACCTTACATTATAATTGTTACCATGTAGTAATAGTTTCCTGATTTAGATATTCAAAGCATCACCTTTAACTCATCCGTGTAGGGAGGGAAATTAGTAATCACGCCTGGAAATTCTCAAAGGCGGCACTTGAAAAGTTCTATTCCAGGAAAAATGACCAATTGTGTACGGGAAGAGCACGACATATGCCTAACACTTTGAAGTACACTGCAAGGGGCTCAAGATTTTGCAAAAGAAGGCTGACAACTTGCAACTTGCCATGAAGCTGTGAGATGAAAGAAACTCTGAAACTGTGCACCCCAGAACATCCTTCTGTTTCCTACATCTTTGATCGAAAGAGTCTCATTGTCTAAGCAAGGAATAATGTTCAATATTGGTGCAAACTGCTTTCTACAGTTGAGGTGGGAATAATACATTACTAACATCCATAACAATACTGAGAACAATATGAATAGCTACATTTTCAAACTTCATAGGTGCTTTCTGACTAATTGGTATGTTCCTAACATCTTAAATCCTAAATTAGTTAATGAATTGTGCTGTGGTCTGAATATTTGCATCCCCCCTAAAATTCTGATGTTGAAATCCCTATCCCCAAGGCAATGGTATTTAGAGGTAGGGCCTCGGGGAGGTAACTAGGTCATGAGGATGAAGTCTTCATGAATGAGATTAGTGCCCTCATGAGACAGGACCCAGGGAGCTCTTTTGCCCTTGTACTGTGTAAGGGCACAGCAAGAAGGCACCATCTGTGAATCTGGAAGTGGGCCCTGACCAGACAGCGAATCTGCCTGTGCCTTAACCTTGAACTTGTCAGCTTCCAGACTAGCAGAAATCATTTTCTGTCGTTTATAAGCTATTCAGGTTATAATATTTTCTTATAGCAACTTGAATGGGCTAAAACAAATTAGATATCTTTAAAATATTTTTACTAGAAAATAAGAAAAATATTAATGGTATATCGTGCACTATATAAAATGTATAATATGTGTTGTAGAAAATGATTCAAAGGAATAGGGTTTGAAAGGTCACAGGATTGAGTAAACAAATAAATGGGAGAGAAACAATAAATCTTGCAAAAAAATTCCAAACAATTTATGTATCTATTGCACCCTCAGGTAGGTGGAATGTAATTCCTACTTCTTTTTTTTTTTTTTTTGCAGTTTTTGGCCAGGGCTGAGTTTGAACCCGCCACCTCCGGCATATGGGCCGGCGCCCTACTCCTTGAGCCACAGGTGCCACCCTACTTCCTACTTCTTAAGTGACAGCAGCACACAGTGCACAGTGACTTCCTTCCAAACAGTGCTGTGTAGAAAGGGGTAACTTGACAGCGGAGAGACCTGACAAACACCAACCTTACCCAGATGAGCAAGGTTAACGTCAACAGTGATGAATGACCCTGACAGCACGTGACCGTGACATCATGTGATCAAACTGGCATCTTATCTTTGCCATCTTCCTCCCCCAAGCTCATAACTGAAGTTAAATCATGAGAAAAATATCAAATACCAAGAGAGGGGCATTCTGCAAAATACTTCCAGGGCTCCTCAAAACTGTCAAGGTCATCAAAAAAGGAAAGTCGGAGGAACTATCGCAGCTAACAGCATCTGAGGACACAGGATAACTAAATGCAGGGTGGTGTCCTGGAACAGAACAAGGGCATCGTGTAAAATCAAAGGCAATAGGAAAGAGGCATGAACTTTGGTTAATCCCTGTAGAAACAGAGTTGCTGGCTCACAGACTGTGCACGCACTTGTTCTTAACAGATATTTCCAAAATGAATCTAAGTTGCTATAATAGAAACGTATGAGCTTATGTCTCTGATGTGATTTCAGAGAATCCGCAGGATTTCAGAGAAATACTTGCACTTTGATGTTCACTGATCTGATGGGGAAATGATACTTTGTTTTCATTTATATTTTCCTGAATGCTAAGAAAAAAAAAATGATTCCATTTCAACTCCCCAATTTGTAGCTAATGGAAGTTGATTCACAAATTGAAACAATTCCAAGTTTTTATTGCCACTTCATTATAAGCATAAAAAGTAATACTGACATGCGGTGATACACAGGCAGGTTTTCCTTCATTGTACAGTTGTTTGCTCAGCAACTATCGAATGTTTGCTGTTTCCATTCCATTGGTGAAGAGCGTGTGATCATATTTTATTTTTTGTAGTTTATTTCTCCTTCTTTATTGTTCATTATCGCCATAATTTAAGAAAAAGAAAAAGATATAAATTGATGTGCTTCCTGATTATTAGCTATGGTTTAGAAATGGGTGAATAAGCATAATCTTGGCTTCCTAATCGTCATGTATTTACAGCTCTATTTGCGTTATGTTTTTCTGCATATTTTCACTCCGTTAACTTTTTCAACAAGGTCTCTCCTATGCAGTCAGAGTCACAGGGCAAGATGGAAGAAAAGTGCAGGACAGCGTGGAATGCAGGGAGGATGGAAGTAGACTTCAGTCTGTAACTGGGGGTTAGGCATGAGAGAACCTTGCACACACTACCCACATGGGTTTGCTGAAGTCCCAGTACCTCACTGTTCTCCACAGATAGGCTTTGTCATTCATAATTCTTGTCTTAGGCTAGAGCCTGTGGAACTCTCTGAATCTACTTCCATTTTCACCACTGCTCAAAACTGTATTTCTAAAATTGACATCTGGTTCTGTCATTTGGAGGACCATAAGTTTCATCCAAAGCAGGACACTTCTGAAAATGAAAGGTTGTGCTATCGATAAAATCAGAGTAGCAGTGGTGGTGCCTGTGGCTCCGTGAGTCGGGCACCAGCCCCATATACTGAGGGTGGTGGGTTCGAACCCGGCCCTGGCCAAACTGCAACAAAAGATAGCCGGGTGTTGTGGCGGGCGCCTGTAGTCCCAGCTACTCCGGAGGCTGAGGCAAGAGAATCGCCTAAGCCCAAAAGTTGGAGGTTGTTGTGAGCTGTGACCCCCACTGTACTCTACTGAGGGAGACTCTGTCTCAGAAAAAAAAAAAAAAAAAATCAGAGTAGCAGGAAAAAACCAAATGTGTTTGGCAGCTGAGATGTGTGGTCGCCCCACGTCTCTCAGCCTGACATCCTTTCCCATTTCCCATTGGCTATCTCTGACAAATACCAACTTTGCATAACATTCCACGGCATCTTCGTGATTTGGTCCCTGGCTGTTGATCCACCTTTGTTCTTTAGCCACGTCTCATCTGTACTCCTTCCCCTCAGCACACATTGCCCTCTCCTGATTTCACTCAGGCTGCTTCATGCAGTTCTCATGCTATTTTTTCCTCCTATTTAGCTGCCTGACAAATTTGTGTTCATCCTTCAACAATCAGACCCAATAGTACCTGCTATGGTCTCCCAAAGTTCATGTGCTGGAAACTTAATTCCAAATGCTACAGTGCTGAGAAGTGGTATTTTAAAGAGATGATTTGGTATTTTAAAGAGATGATTAGGTATTTTAAAGAGATGATTAATCAATGCCATTATCACAGCAGTGAGTTATCAAGGGAGGGGTTTTCTGATGAGAGGAGTTTGTCCTCTCCTCTCTTAAGCCATGTGGTGCCTTTCACCAGGTCATGATGCAACAAGAATGCTCCCACAAGGTGTGGGCCGTGGATCTTGGACTTCCAGCCTCTAGAACTATGAGACAATTAATTTCTTTTCTTTTTTTCAGGGTAACAGAGATTTTATTTAGGAAGAACACAGAGAAAGTTTAGAGCACATCCAAAAAGAGTTGGAAGTGAGTCCCTCTCATAAAGGAGAGAAGGTGAGAGAGATTAATTTAATCAATTAATTCAATTGTTTCAATTGATTCAATTAATTTTGATTGTTTACAAATTGCCCAGTCTTGGGTGTTATGTGATAACAGCAAAAAGTGGTCCAAGACAGTACCTCCTCCCTGAAGACCCCTCTATGCCTTAGGGTTTCTAAAGCACACCCACCACTCTAGCACTAGTGTTATAATCATTGGCCTATGACCCTTTACCCCAAACTCTTGGGATGTGATGTGTTTCAAGAATTATTACTATTTTCTTTTGAATATCCATAAGGTAACATGGTACCTATTATCTGGAATGGCATCCAGTAACCAAGTTATGTATCTGTACTGAAATACATGAATATAGTCACACTATGTGGGATCATTGAACATGATACTATTGTATGGACTTAATTTATTAATTGTTGCCAGTTCTGGTAAGGTATTGTTGCCAGTTTCCAACAATTAAAAAAAGAATTTCCAGTTTTCGGAGGTTTTAAAATAGTGGAGGAGGGATTACATAGTTTGCCAAACACTCCCATCCTACCAATGTACTCACTCCCTGATCCTTCAGAGCAGGAGAAAATTTATTCACCTTTTTACTTTTAGTGCCTAGGATATATCACTCGGCCAAAAAATAAAACAATTTGGAGCTACAAAAAACATGTCTTGGGAATTATTTAAAAAGGCACTCAAATATACCTTTGAGGGATTTTAAGGTGGCTGGATAACTAAAAGTTGGATATTTTTAGAGAATACGCAGAGACCCTCCTGATAGAGAGATAGCTGAACACAGCTTGTGCAGTGAAACCATTTTTTAAAATTTGTTTCCATTATTTATTTTTATTTTTGAGACAGAGTGTCACTTGGTCACCCTTGATGGAGTGCTGAGGCATCACAGCTCACTGTAACCTCAAACTCTTGGGCTCAAGAGATCCTCTCGCCTCAGCCTCCTGAGCAGCTGGAATTACAGGTGGCCGCCACCATGCCTGGAGAATTCTTTCACATAGCTAGTAATTTTCTCTCCAAAGGAGGAGTGAGGGTCAACTGTGAATTATTTTAGGAAGTTTGGGAATAGTTTGGAATATTTAAAGAGTGAGGGAAGTTTGAAAGAGGAATGGCAGAGAGCAGGAGAAAGTTGAACAAGAAAACATGGGGGGCCTGGCCAGAATTTAGAGTTCTTTT